TTTATGAGCTTGCAGGCAACGATTTAAGCTTGTTGTAAAGGTTTGTTATCGATCAGAGCTGACGGGTACGTATCCACTTATGGTAACTACAGGGTTGGTACGGTAGTCAAGTTGATAGTAGTTTGCAAGGGCACCGGAACAAAGAAAACATTGCCTATTGAAAGCATTGGAGCTCAGGTCCCTTAAAATTTTTTGAAAGGGGTGCCTCACGAGAAGCCAAAGCCGTGTTTTTAATAGGGCTGTACCGAATAGTGATTTTCACTATTCGGTCGAATACGAATAGCTGGACCAACTATTCGGCCGAACACAAATACAAATAGTGAATCGTCATCGTCAGGTGCTTTGCCGACTGTCATGGGCAATTATGCCTCGTCACAATCTGGGATCTCCTGCAGCATGTATTAGTTCGTGTGCTGACACACCTCCATGCTATGAAACAAGACTGTCAAGAATCTTCTTTCGTTGTCTTCATCTATCCCTCCTTCTACATCTCTTTCCAGTGGTCACCACATGTTCCATTTTCCCTCATCTTATAACATGGCCGAAAAATGATGACTGTCTCCTTCTGATGTCTGTGGGTAGTTTTCTTCGGGCTCCCGTCTCTATCAAAGCCTATTGGTTGCTTTTTTTTTTTTTTTTTTGTCTAATGTATTTTAAGCATTGTTCTGTAAAACCACTTCTCTGAGGCCTCAAGAAATTGTTTGACCTGCCTACCAATTGTCCAAGACTTACAGCTATATGTTAAAACTGGATGAATGTAGCAAGTAAGAATTCTTTTTCTAACCTTCAATGACAAAGATATATTGCATAAGATGTTCTTCATTTTATAAAATGCAGTTTTTGCCTGTCCTATTCTGTTTCTTATTTCAGTAATGCATCTTCCAGCTGATGCAATCTATGTGCCCAGATACTTAAATTTCTGTACTTGTTCTAAAATAAAACCATGGACTTTTATTACACATTTAGGAATAATTATTTTCTTAGATACCACCATTACCTTTGTCTTCCCACTATTCAAACTGATGCCAATTCTTCCATTTTCGTGTATAAAATAGATCTAAAAAAAAAAAAAAAAATCCACAATGTCAAATGTACTCTGAAATTTTACTTCACAAAATGTAGTACAGAATAGTAAACATTTAAAAACATTTCATGTCTGGCATCCTTCAGTCAGTCAGTCTGTGGTAACTAATACCTAGGAATGACAGTATTCTTAGTTTTATAACAAGTAACTAAACTTGTAAATTGTCACTGACAGTTTAGTAATCCATAAGCTTTCCAAAATAAAAATAAAATAAAAATCGTTCCGAGTTGTCTGCATTAAGGCAGCTTCTTGTCTCACTGAAGGTATTTCCAGCTGTACTAAACAGACGTTCACTTGGTACGCTCGTAGGTGGTGCACAAAGATAACGCTTGACAGTATGAACCAAGGTGGGAAATCTTGAAATGTTAATTTTCCACCAGTCCAGAAACGGGTGTAAGGTAACGACTATTCGTATTCGGTCCGACCGCAACTATTCGGCCGAATACCGAATAGTTATTAGGTCCACTATTCGGCCCCGAAGCGAATACGAAGCGAATATTCGGTACCGCCCTAGTTTTTAAGCACAATAAAGCAATGGTAAATAAGTAAAATAACAAAAATAATAATAATGTAAAGAATAGCAATAAATACGAGTACATTAATGTAATTAAAACAATATGAAATTTAAACAAATACCGTATGTAAAATAAAAGAGAACTTCTGCATATGGTTAGGGAAACTGCTTATCCCTTTAAAAAAATTCTAATGGGAAAATAAACAGAGGGGAACTTCAAGGTGCATACACCCGCACGTTCCAGTGACCATAATAGTGTGTAACTTTCGGGCGTTGTAGTAACTAGATGTTATAGGTTTACGTTGTCCCCGGCTGGTGTAGTAACTAGATGTTATAGGTTTAGGTTGCCCCCCCCCCCCACCCCGGCGGGTATAGTAACTAGATATTATGTTTACGTTGCTCCCGGCTGATGTAGTGACTAGATGTTATAGGTTTACGTTGCCCCCGACTGGTATAGTAACTAAATATTATATGTTTACTTTGTCCCCGGCTGGTGTAGTAACTAAATATTATAGGTTTACATTGCCTCCGGCTGGCGTAGTTACTAGATATTATACGTTTACGTTGCCCCCGGCTGGTGTAGTAACTAGATATTATATGATTACGTTGCCGCCGGCTGGTTTAGTAACTAGATATTACAGGCTTACATTGCCCCCGGCTGGTATAGTAACTAGATATTATAGGTTTACTTTGCCCCCCCCCCCATCCCCTTTTTTCAGATCTGCATTCCGAAAGATTAACATCTTAAGGATTAAAATAAAACAGCTACAAATCCAGGAAACCCCGTTCAACTGTATAGCCATGATCCCCGTGTGGGTGCCATGGCCCCATTGTGAGGGAAAACAAGAATAGACCCACTGCCTTCCTAACAAGCATGTCGTAGGAGTCGACTAACTGTGGACTTCCTTCGAAGTCGCAGAACATCTGCCCTAGCGGCAACGAACAACCGACTGCACACAAATAAGCCAGTTAAACGGATGTACATGCAAAACTCAGGCCCTGGCACAAAGCCAAAGTCCAAATGGGCGAACAACCTGGACTTTCTGCCGGGGGCTTACAGTCGGTGAAAAGAAGAAGAGGAAGAAGAAGAAGGAGTATTGCCATATAAAAGGTAAAGGACCCTTTTCCCACTCTTGGTGTATTGAGCATATGGCCTAGACCTAAATTTGATAGATCAATCGGAAGTCGATAAGATGTGGTCAGCATCGCGCCAGCCACCTTTACTTTCCAGGACCGTACCTAGTACCTGTTTAAAGTTGGCCTAGGTCTTTTTTAAAAGGACCCAAACCCACGACCTTCCGATCCGCAGGCGAGCGTCTAGTTGATACACTGCGTCGGCGTATAGCCATATCATCATCATCATGTGCCCTGACAACTGGCGTAGGCGCTCATGCGTCTTCACAGATCACGATCCCTGGTTGCCTGGAACAGCTCTCTTGATGATATCCCTCCAGGCCATCGTTTCAGCTATACAGCATCATCTTTCTTTGTCTGCCTCTACCCCATTTTCCACTGATCTTTCCAGTTGTCACAATGTTCTACAATGTCTCTCTTCTCATTATGTGGCCAAAGAACAGTGTTTGTCTCTTTATTATTGTTGTATATAGAGATCTACTATTATTACCTTCTTTCACGCAATCGTTGTTAGTTACCCTGGCCGTCCATGGTATTCGTAAAATTCGTATAGCCACGTAGGATAGTGCACATACTCTGTAGCACCGGTGAGGATCCTGAAATACTTTAGGTAGATTTTTGACTTCTTCAAATTTTGCCCTGGCAGCGTCGTTAGGTTACTCTTTTCGATTTCCAACTGCCAAGGGATTTGTTTACGTGCGCAATACACACGGGCGTCCGATCTCACTACACAGAGACCAGGGGGAATTACTAGTAAGTCCAAGTCCACGTGAAAAAATCCCAGCCCTCACCGAGGTTTGAACCCGAAACCTCTAGCACTCGAGTCGGACACCATGCCTCGAGACCACGCAGCCCCAAATCCCATACTGTATTTGTGGAAGATTGTTCTTAACGCGAGCGGGTCTTGCTAGTCACACTCGTCGATCGCTGTGGGCTACCAAGCATCCCTTCAGCACAGTATAAGCTGTCGTTAGGAAAGAAAGAAAGCTGTCCCAAAATATCAAACCTGTTCTGGTTTATTTATGACAAGGAATCTTTGTAGTAACTAGCAAATTAGAGAGGTCTCAGAGGTGTTATACTTCTTCTCAAACTCGGTGACCTTCTACGTCAGTTAGCGGCATGTCAACATGGCTTCTGCTGTCACTGTAACACTGGGCCTATTATATACTTGCAATATCTGCGGCCTATGAGTTATGAACACAGCTTCATAATTTCAAAATACCCGGGTCCGGTTCGTCTGCAAGCATTTTGGCAAGAGACGGCTTTGCGTAAATGCCGAGGACGGTACTTGCATCCAGTCGCGCAGAAGGCAGTGGCAAACTACTGAACCTAAAGAATGTGCCTAGTAAAACTACAAACAGCTAACGGATGCGACTAACTTTAACTATTATACCTCCCTATCTCATACTCTCTGTCTGACTGTCTCCCTCTGTCTCTCTGTCTGTCTGTCTCTCTCTCTCTCTCTCTCTCTCTCTCTCTCTCTCTCTCTCTCTCTCTCTCTCTCTCTCTCTCTCTTTATCTACATCATCACGTTCACGGCTGTATAATCTTGCGGAAAGTTCTGGTTGTTTGTCCACTTTTGGACTTTCATCTTATGCCAGAACGTGAATGTTGTGTGTGCGCGTCCGTTTTTACAGACCTGGACTTTTTACAAACACAACTCTGTCTTCATTTACAATGTTTATTTCAACATTTTTGTTATTCATTATCAATAAATAAAGGTAAAAAAGACATGGTTCTGACACTGCGACTGTCCTGGTAAATCAGACAGTTGCGCTTTGTTGTTGTTGAATTTGTACTTCAGTTAAAACGATCCACTTTTTTGCTTCATTTATGTAATTGTAACTGTAGTATGCACCTGACGAGATACCGCGAAATATACTAGGCACTAAATTGTCTAATTTTTTTGGTTTGTGTCTTCTTTGTTCAGATAAATTATACGTTTACCAGATTAAAGGGAGTTGCCGAGGCGCAGCGGCTAGGCGCTCGCGTGCGGATTGGAAGGTGGTGAGTTCGCTCCCTGGCAGAGTCGGACTTTTTTCAGAAATGACTTTGACTCCCAGGTCGATCCAGCCTTGAGTGGGTACCGGGTTCAGTCCCGGGAAGTAAAGGCGGTCTGCGTGATGCTGACCACATCACCCATCTTGTGCCGATTGGTCAATAAAAATATAGGTCTAGTTCTATATGCCCTATACGCATATAGGCGTGGAAAAGGGACCTTTATTTGACTTTTTTTTTGGTAACCAGATTAAATGACAAGCAGCAAAGATGCCAAGTCGAGACCCGCGAAACTACGTCAAATCTGTGCCTCTTCCTATTGCCGACCAGAAAGGCCTGAAACTACAGGCTCGCAGTGCTAATGTGTACAACCCCATAACTCCGACCAGGGAAGAGGTGAGAAAGTGGAACTATGACCGTCGTCTGCAGCAGATGACCGAACAAGGATTTAACGCTTGTAGTTATAAACCTTACAAGGGACTAGGGGACCCCTTCTATCTGGAGAACAGGACGCTGATTTTACATTCTTTAGGACAATGGGAGGTGAGTCTGTTTAGCAAACCATTATCGTCAGCATCATCCTCATCATCGTCATCTTTTTCTTCTTCTTTTTCTGCCTCTCCTCTTCCTCCTTCTTCTTCCCCTCCCCCTTGTTATCTTCTTCATTATATTCTTCTTCTGCTCCTTTTTTCATCACCTTTTTCTTCTGCTCCTATTTTCATCATCGTCATCATTATCATTTTCTTCTTCTTCTTCTTCTTCTTCTTCTTCTTCTTCTTCTTCTTCTTCTTCTTCTTCTTCTTCTTCTTCTTCTTCTTCTTCTTCTTCTTCTTCTTCTTCTTCTTCTTCTTCTGCCTCTCCTCTTCCTCCTCCTTCTTCCCCTCCTCGTTATCTTCTTCATTATCTTCTTCTTCTGCTCCTTTTTTTCATTATCACCTTCTTCTTCTTCTCCTTTTTTCATCATCAGCATCATCTTCTTTTTCTTTTTCTTCTTCTTCTTCTTCTTCTTCTTCTTCTTCTTCTTCTTCTTCTTCTTCTTCTTCTTCTTCTTCTTCTTCTTCTTCTTCTTCTTCCTCTTCTTCTTCTTCTTCTTCTTCTTCTTTTTTTTTTCCTTCCTCTCCCTTTCCTCCTCCTCCTCCTCCTCCTCCTTCTTCTTCTTCTTCTTCTTCTTCTTCTTCTTCTTCTTCTTCTTCTTCTTCTTCTTCTTCTTCTTCTTCTTCTTCTTCTTCTTCTTCTTCTTCTTTTTCCTCTTCTCAGTGACTCAGTCATATAGGATAAAATCTGGTGCAAAGGAGTAATTCCTCTCGACTATAAATCTTTATTTTTCAATTTTAACTTTTGCTGTCATGTACATTTAGATTCAATGCATTTATTTGTGTTGTATTAATGAAAACAAAAAGCCCTCACACAAAGCAGGGAGACATGATGGCCACATTTATGCAAAAGCACAAGGGCCGATATCTCTTTCAGTACAAACAGCTCACCATTCATACCTCAGTCTTTCCAAAGACAGTATGATGTTCCTTCCATCTTCTGTCACAGACAAATGTTTGATCAACCTCTTGTTTCGTAATTATTAGTTTATTTACATCTGCCCCATAGTTCATTCATTGTTCTGTTGTGTCGTTATGTCACATAAGGCTTTGCAGTCGATTTCTCCATTTCATACTTTCCAGTAGAATCCCTCTGTTTCCCATTTCAGTGCCTGTTTTGGTGATTCTCTATTTCCCTCTTCTCAGAATATGCCTAAACATTTTTCGTATTTCTATACATCTGGTGAAGGCTGGGATTTTTTCTGTTCACGTAAACTTCTAGTAATTTCCCCTGATTTCTAAGTAGTGAGATCGGACGCCCATGTGTATTGCTGCGCCTGTAAAAAATCCCTTGGCAGTTGAAAATTGAAAAGGGTAGCCTAACGGCGCTGCCTGGGCAAAATTTGGTATTAAAAATCTAGCCAAAATATTTCAGGATCCTCGCCGGTGCTACGAAGCCTGTGCACTGCACTGAGCTACTTTGGACTCAGACTTTAGTTAGAAGTAGAACAGAGCACTTATGGGTAACTACCCATGTGCCATCATGTTGATCCGTTGTTCAAACCTCAAAACTCAGTCCATATCTATAGTGGTTCTGCAACTTTCATGGCATAGTTAAAACTGAAATACCATTAGAATTGAAAATATTTAACTTGATTCTAAAACCACATAATTTAGAGTTCCATATTTTTTAAAGCTTTTTAAAGCATCTGATGCGTTGCCTGTGTGTGTCATCATGTCTTTATTTGTGTTTCTTTGACTATCAGTACTAATAATTAAATGAGTAAATTGTTCTGTTACTTAGTTATTTTTCTCTCTAGTGTTACAGCTCTGCCCAGATGTGTTTATGTTGAATTCCTTCAGACCTGAGTATTTACTGCTTTCCAGCTCAAATGTCGGCATCTGTGACTTAGGTGTTGCGAACAAACTTTGTAATGCTGGGGTGCCGAGTTCGATCCCAGCTGTGGGTCTTGCGCCGTGTGTTGGTTTCGACAGTGGTATTTACTGTCTAGAAAGCAATAGCAAACTACTGGACATAAATTTGCCTAGAAAAACCACAACAGCCAAAAAATGCTGGGGTTAGTTCTACAATGTCCTGTAAAGGATACGTAAATAACTTTAAAAAAAAAACTTTACGATATAAAGTATTAAAGTAAAAACCATTGGTACTGAAAGAGTTAAACTGTGACTCCTAGTGGCATAGAACAGATACTGACAAAACAAAGAAGACAAGATATATAGTGGTGGGAACAGGGCACAGTTAACTATTGATCGCCTAACCTTGGTTGATAGTGATGGTATTGCTAACAAGTATGTCCCATGATCGACTGGTTTGTTCTCTCCAAGCTGATGCTTAAAGGTTTACCATACCATCTGAAGATTAAAGAATCTCATTCTGGATGGCGGACCAACAAGGTAGATCTAAGATACCTTGTTCAGCCTCCTTAGAAAATATTCTTCTTCTTCTTTATGTAAACTGGCAGAAATTTCTGAATGTTCATCAACTTCTGGAAACTTTCCAGAAACTGAGTGATGCGTGTACATCCATTTTACAAGTCTAACTAATTTGTATGCAGACTGTTGGTTCCTTGCCTCTCGGGCAGATGTACTCCGACTTCGAAGAAAGCTCCCAATCAGTCGACTCTTGCGACATGCTTTAGGGCAGGCACTGGATCTTTCTTGTTTCCCCCCCCCCCCCTTTCCCCACAATGGGGCCCTGGAACTCACACAGGGACTTGGAAAATATAATTAAGACACCCATAATGGTTATATCAGCCAGGTGTCTCCTGGAGTCCTAAAAATATGTCCCTCTGTTTTTTTTATCTTGTCATTTCTTTTTTTTTAGTCAATGTCTGCGGCTTAGGTGTTGCAAACTTGGTTTTTATTTCTTGGTATCCGGTTCCATCCCAGTTGCGGACAATTTGATAGCAGACTGCCTTGCGTTGTTTTTGACAGTGGTATCGACCATTTCAGACAACAATTGCAAACTGCTAAAAGTAAAATTGCCTAGAAAAATCTTGAACAGCCAAAAAATACTTGCGTTGTTTTTGCAATTTCCTGTAAAGAATAAGCAGCTAACCTTTTTTTTTTTTTTTTCAATTTTTTTTTTCCAGAAAGATAATTTGGAGGTTTAAAAAAAAAATAATGCACCCAACTGTTTTTAGTCGAAAAAACCTGTATTAATGTACAAAGCACAATTGCTAGTATATTTCACTATCTGCACAAAGACAATAGACAACACCAAGATTATTATTACCTTGAAATCTTTTGATGTTTCTGTGCAGCCATGCTTTCATTACTCACTTTCAACTCAATTCTGTTCGTAAATCAATATATTAACATAGCCAAGACCATAGAGGTTGGCTCAGGATCAATTCATATGTCATGCATCATGTGTTTTGCCTTTCCGTTTAATTAACCCTGCTGCTAGTTTTTAATGTCATCAGAGTTGCCAGACTTTATGCCATTCATTCAAAATGGAACATTGTTTTAAAGCCATATAATCGACTATAGTCGGAAAAATAAAGTTTCAGTTTCAAAAACATATTGACCACTCTAGTCTTTAAAAGAGTAGTTGAATTGTTTTTTTGTTTTGTTTTTTAAATTTTCTTTTCTTTTTCCCTATTTTTAAAAAAACTAAAAGTTTAGAGGTGCACTTTTGGTAAACCTTATGATAGGAGCTAATAATGCACCCTAGGATATGTTATGCCAGAAGTTTCTTGCAGAGTTTACAAGCAGTGAATGTGAAGAAGAGACTGATTAAACTGGGATTGAGCAGAGGATCTAGGTAGTTTTTCAACACACAGTGGAAAAGAACAGGCAGACTTTTATTTTCAGGTTAAAAATGGCCGCAACAGTGGGGGAATTCTTTAGTTGGCTACTGAGGAAGGGGACGGGGCATGTGTGGAAATACCCTGAGCAGTGACATCACTTTTAAATTCATTTATTTATTCATTCATTCATTCAACCACAATCAACTTCTATTTGTCTTTTTCCATGATGATCTTGCTAACAAAATATGTCACTTTTTTTTCCTTCTCATCCCCGTTTAGAAAGATGATTTGAAGCCATCAAGCAGCTCTGAAGATGAAGAAGATGCAGACGCCTCTGCTGCAGTTGAACCAAGGACATCCTTGGTACTTGAACTGACATTTGAAAACACTAACTTGTTCTGCTCCTTGCAGTTATTTTTGTCATTCTTCTTCTTGTAATTGTATCTCTAATTTACACTATCAGATGAGGTCTTATGAAGAAATTAACCACTTTTGGGTAGTTTCTCTTTAGTTCCATACAACTTTGAGTGTAGTGTAGACTCATAGGCCCAGTTTTCCAGCTTTCCACTGGATTGCTGGGGAGAGTGGGGGGTCAACTACGTGAAGGTGAGGTAGTGTAACAGAGGCATTAAGAATGAACTGTGCTCCCTTAGATCCCAGGCAGTTGTTGAATTAACTCATTTTATCCCAGTGCGTTTACTTGAAAGTATTAAATATCTGAGTCTGAAGAGGTTAAGGTGACACACTGTGGAAAAAAACAGATAAAAAAAAATATATAGATGTAATGGGTTAATATAGCAACTGTGTTTGTTAGATGGGAGAATAAGTTCCAAAACTCTTTTAGCCCCTCCCCCCCCCCCCCTTTAAAAAAAAAATCACTCGGCCACACAGCCATTCCCCCTTTCCCCACACATATGTGAATATCATAATCATCATGTGACACATTGATAAGCAAAGGTAGTAA